ACTTGCTCAATTTTATCCCCCAATTATGCAATTGTTAATCAAAATAGTCATAATTAAAACTATTTTGGTTTGGATAAAGTAATATTTTAGGTAAATATTGTATAATTGAGAATGAAATTGAACAAGTTTGAAAGTTGATGACCACACTGACAAAATGTTAATAGGCAAGGGACCAAATCGGGTATGAACTCCCAAAAAAACAAGAGTAATACTACCTTGACTCCTATTTTCTACTCCATACAATGTGAGAATGCCTTGATTGTCTAATAAAATTAGGTGTCATGATTTTTGTTCATTCATTTTTCTTCATTTAATAAAAATTAAGAAAAAAAATTGGAAGTGTAATTTGAGAGTAGAGCCCGTAGAGGTAATATTTTTTAAAAACAAGAGGCACATGCTCACATGCCATTACAACGGTTGTTATACTGTGGACCATGGTCCGAAAACGACGTTATTTTTTTAAGTAAAGAAACGCTAATTGTTAAATTTTAACAAATCCCGTAATTTTTTTTTTTTTTTTTTTGTGTTCAAAACAAAAAGGAACTACAGTGTACCTAAAATGAAACTGAATAATTTGTTTCACATATTGTGTTTATATTATCAAATGAAACTGTAATTAAATTAAAATGATACTTTAGTTGTATTGAAATGAAACTGCAGAATGTATAAAATGAAAATGAATAACATGTATAACATATTGAGTGTATATTGTCAAATAAAACTATAATTGACTTATAATTATAATTTAGTGGTGTTGTAATAAGACTATAATATATATAAAACAAAATTCAGTAACAGGTCTCACTATAATAAGATTACTGTGTATGTATAATGTTACATGAAACTATAATTAAAACAAAATTGAACTCTAGTTGTTTGAAATTAAACTACAATATAAATATATATATATATATATATATATATATATATATATATATATATATATATATATATATATATATATATATATATATATATGATGGAATAATCACGGAGCTGGAGTGGAGCGACGCAATTCGAATCGGGTCTGACCCCGGAGCAGGACGAACCACCCCGGGCTCGGCCTCATGGGCTCGGCCGAGCTCCTCGAGTGGAGCGAGTCCCGCGGCTCCTCTCGCGGGCCCGGGGCCCGTTGCGGCCAGGGGCTATATAAACACCCCCCTGGTGTCCTAATCAGGCATCTCGTACTTTTCCTACAACATTTGTCTTGTTATTACACGTCCTGAACCTCTGTAATAGCATTTTATATTCAATTAATACAATACTTACCGTTTTATTATCCGTTCTTCGTATTCAACATATATTCGGGTTGTATAATCCGGACCCCCGGGTTCATATAATCCATCTTTGGTGCACTTGCTGAGAGCGGTTGTATAAGCTTAAGCGCTCTCCCTATTATCCTTTATTGACAGCAATGACAAGATCCGGGTCGAACACCCACAACTCGCAGGGCTAACGCGACCTCGCCCTCGTCAACTGCCCCAACGGGATCGTGGCAAGCCGACAGACCATGTCTGTGGGGGCCGGGGAGGACCTCCGGGATCAGATCAACGGGAGTCGGCAGGGGGCTGTGGGGGACCTTCGGAGTCGTCTCACCAACAATCGCCCTTTCGGCGGGGCAGCGCCACCCGCACCACCTCAGGTCCCGACCTCCCAACAAGATGCCGTCATACTAGAACAGGCGGCGAACGCGCTCAACCGCGTCGCGACAGGGCTGCACCGGGGAGGCCCAGCGCCCCCACCTCCGCCCCCTCAGAGGGTGCGCAGCGGCCCCAGCACTCAGGCGCCCCGGGAACCCGCAGCGCCGGCTGAGGAGGAAGTCAATTCACCACGACCTTCTGGGAGGCGCGACGGGGCGGAAGCCACCCGAGGCCGACACGAGCAGCGAGATGAAAGGCGAACTCGGCCGGCGCGTACCACCTCCACGCTCGGGCGGTTAGGCCCACGTGTACCGGCGCGAGACCGCCTGGGGCCGGGGCCGGCCACACACGTCAAGCAGGAGGAGTCATCGTGCTCGCGGAGATCCCAGAGCCACGAACCCCGTGTCCCGAGGCAGCGGGAGCCGGCTCCACCCGTGGAACGCTCAGGGGAGACCAGAGGCCAACCCCCGAGCACCCAGTGCGAAGAGATGGAACAGTTGCGTCGACAGATCCGCGACACCTTCACGGAGGCCATCATGGCCGAGCCTTTACCCCGGGACTTCCGATTCCTGACCATCAAACCCTACACGGGGGCAACGGACCCGCGGGACCACCTCAACAGGTACAAGGTGGTCATGATGATGACAGGCATAAATGACGCCATCATGAGTCGCGGCTTTTGCACGACTCTAGATGGGCAGGACCAGGATTGGTTCGGGTCCCTCCCGGGGGACTCCATTCCCACTTTTGCGGTCCTGACTAAGAAGTTCATGTCGCACTTCGCGGGCAGCGTACAACGGCGAAAGCAGTTCGCCGACCTATGTTACCTGAAGCAAGACAAGTCGGAATATCTGGCGGAGTACCTGAGTAAGTGGAAGAAAGAAGCTATGGGGGTAACAAATTTTGATGAAAGGTCCGCCATCCCGTTTTTCACCAACAACCTCAGGTCGGGTCCTTTCCACAGCGACCTTGTTCGGAATGAGCCGAAGACCTACGCAGAATTGATGGACCGCGCCGCGCGGTACGCCAATGCGGAAGCGGCAGAGAAGAGGAAGAAGGAGGAGGAGGAAGGCCGCGGACAGGGCGACAGGGCATCTCACCCTCAAGAGGATCGCCGCCCTCCCCGGTCGCGACGTGACCGGGGTCCCCGTCTAGCCCCGCTACGACACTTGACCCCGTTGACACATCCTGTTAGCGTCATCCTGGACCATGCCGAGGACATGGGCATCGTGTCGTTCCCCGAGGAATGCTTAAAGATCTCCCCCAAAGCCGACCCGAAGAAATATTGCCGCTTCCATCGGCAACGTGGACACGACACCGACGAATGTATGGTCCTCAAGAGGTAGATTGAGGAGCTCATTCAACGGGGATACCTGGGGCAATACATGAAGAGATCCGGGCAGGACCACGCAAAAGGCCCTGACAACACCCGAAAGAAGAAGGATGGCACCGGGCCCTCTACTTCCGCCCCGCGCAAGAGGGAGCTCGACCACCTCACGGAGGACAAGGAGACCGAGCCAGACAGCCCACCAAAGAAGAAGGTCATCCACGTCATCTTCGGCGGCCCGGAGGGAGGGGACACACCCGCCGAGAGAAAGAAGTGGACGCGGAGCCTGTACGTTGGGGAGGTCGTCAGAGCACCCCACGAGAAGAGGACACGCAGGGAGCCCATAACGTTCACCGACGACGACCTCCCGGATGGACCCTTACCCCACCGGGACGCATTGGTAATCCGCTTGGACCTTAATGACACCATCGTCCACCGGGTATTGGTAGATACGGGGAGCTCCGTGAATGTCGATAGACTCGTCATCGCTAGGCGGGAGGTCCGCGTAGTCAATAGAGTCTAGGATGGACCAATAATGGAAGTGGATAATCAAAGGTAGGTCGACCGGGTGTGTATCCTCGGCAAGAGGCACTATGCTCATAAAAAAAATAGCTACGAAACTCCAAAAGGGGGTTTTGCACGAGACTCACCCGACTCAAGCAAGGAAGGGATGACGAAGGAAGCACGGAGGGAGGACGCGTGGAGCTCGGGTCGGCCTCGGGTGGCGGGCTCGGCCGGCGGTGACTCGGGGTCGGCGTGGGAGGGGGGGTCGGCCTCGGCAGGGGGCTGGGGTTGGCCGGGGTGCTGGTCGGCGGTCGGCGGCCGGAATTTGAGGGGAAAAGAGGGAGATAATTTTTCAGCTTGGTGGAGTTTTTTGTGTGTGTGAGGAGTGTGGGGAATGCTACTTTATATAGGGGAGAGAGGGGGAAAAAAGGGGGAAAAGGGCGGGGGGGGGGGGGGGGAAAGAGGAGACATTTTTTGGGAAAATGGGGGAAATTTTGGGAAGAGAGAAAGGTGAGGTGTTGGGAATGTGAGGAGGTTTGGAAGGATGGATGGGGTATTTAAAGGGGAAGTGGAAGGGTTGTGGTAGGATGGGGACTCTTAGCTGATGAGAATTTGTTCAGGTTTGAATTCCAATCCGGTTAGGAGTCCTACCGCGCTAAGAATTCTGCGAGAAGAAAGAGTAATTTTTGGAAACATGATTCGGGGCCCCGTAATTATTAGGTTCATTTGTACTCTCTCGCGCTGACGACTCCTCGCAGCCCCGAGAGTGGGGGACTGATGATGGAATAATCACGGAGCTGGAGCGGAGCGACGCAATTCGAACCGGGTCTAACCCCGGAGCAGGACGAACCACCCCGGGGTCGGCCCAGCGGGGGGTCGCCGTGGGCCGACTCCCCGAGCTCGACCGAGCCCATGCTCGGCCCATTGGCCGAGCTCCGTGCTCGGCCAAGGGCCGGGTCCTCGCGTGGAGCGAGTCCCGCGGCGCGGGCCGCGACTCTTCTCGCGGGCCCGGGGCTCGTAGCAGGGGCTATATAAACACCCTCGGTGTCCTAATCAGGCATCTCGTACTTTTCCTACAATATTTGTCTTGTTATTACACGTCCTGAACCTCTGTAATAGCATTTATATCCAATTAATACAATACTTACCGTTTTATTATCCGTTCTTCGTATTCAACATATATTCGGGTTGTATAATCCGGACCCCCGGGTTCATATAATTCATCAATATATATATATATATTATAAAATGAATATGTTATACAAACAAAATTAATTATGCAAGAAGAAATGACACTTTTTGGACAATGGTCGACAATAAAATTTGAACATTCCAGCGTGCCAACGTGTTTCTCACCGGTCACAAATAGACCAAGAAACGCCAAAACTCCATTTTCCCGCCCGGCCATGGCGGCGAATCTCCTTTGCTTTTCACTCTCCCAGAACAAGAAGCTCACTCCGAGCTTCCACTACAATGTCAGTAAATTTTAGTTAATTCCTCTCCTCTACAGACAACGCCGCAGCGATACGCATCTGGTCCGTAATGGCGTCTTTGCCAAGGCAATTGAGTTAAAACCCATGCCTATGAAGCAGGTTCAGAAGCAAGCCAAGCCGGACGACTCAACCGTGCTTCTGGATGTGATGGGGATGATGTGCGGCGCGTGCGTATCACGCGTAAAATCGATCCTCTCCGCCGACAACATGTTGACTGAGACAGCCGCACTGAAGCTGAAATCGGCCGCTGCTGCTGTTGCGGAGGAGGGAAGTGCTGCTGAGTAGCTAGCTAAGAGGCTGACAGATTGTGGACAAGAGAGCGTCGGGGCTTGGGATTGAAGATAAGGTGAAGGAATGGAAGGAAATGGTGGCGAAGAAGGAGGCTTTGCTTGTGGAGATTCGGAACCGGGTGGCGTTTGCATGGACTCTCTCGGCATTCATGTTGGTCATGGTAAAGCAAATTAAAATTTGTATTTTTATTTTAAAAGAAGGAATTTACCCTTGGCTTTACTTCTGATCTCTAATTTTCAATAAGTTCTTATAATTTTCACCATCAATTTAAGTAAGCTATTTTAAAATGTTTGTTCAGGTTTATTCTCATGTGCGATTGAATTTTGAATTTAGCAGCTGAATCTCCTTACATGGGTTTTATTGAGTTAAATGCAATCTCATAGTCTATAATTTGGGTTCTAGTAAATACCAGCTATGATTCTCTATTGGGTCAGGCCATGTTTAGTCCTTAACATTCAAACTGAGCACTATTGGTCCTCTGAGTATTGATTTGCAGCATTGTTTTGTTCTTCTGTTAGATTGCTCTATCTGTTGTCATTTCATTTTTGTCTTCCTCTTATAAGCAAACAATGAGGCTGCTCTCTTCCATTAGTATTCCACTTCGAGGTAGCTTTAATCTCTTTTAGGTTGTCAAGATAATTATAGTACAGCACATTACATATCTAACCCACCATGCATCACTGGTTTCACATTACTGACTCTGTCGACACTCCTCCAGCGGCACCACTAGTGAGGAGCAGGAGGAGAAGGGGAACTTCTGTTTGTCTGATGTTGACGAAGGGTCGTGTTATTCCCAGTTCTATTCCACAGATGATGTCTCTACCTATGATAACTACAGCTAAGCCTCTAGGTCTGATATAGCTGAGATTGTGGAATCCCAATGAGCTTCGTTATTGGCAGAGTCCAATTGCTCAGATGGTTTTGAGAAAGGGGTTGGTGAAACCAAGGTGCATTTGAGGAAAATTGAAAAATATTGTAGGAATTTTCATCTGAACATTCATCTTTAGGGTTTTGTTTTTTAATTTGGGGATTATGTGTTTTAAAAAGCTGATGGTTTTGTTTTGTTTGTTTTTTTGTTTTGTTTTGTTCTTCTTTTTTTTTTTTTTTTTCAAGAAATTCAATGCTTCCTTGTAGGGCACTATCTTGAATATAAATATGAATGATGATATTCCAATATCCAGTGAACTAACTAGCACCAGGGTACATAATTTTTTTTTACTACTCTTTGAAGTTCAAGAAGTTATTGATGTAGAAGGTTCTGTAGTGATGGCAAAAAATTGATTTTCCATTCACAGGATGTGTCACCTTGGTACTGTAAAACACAGCTTCTTCTTCTTCTTTACTCGTAGGACTAACGGGTCAATTTGAAAATTAAGGACCAAACGTGGCGTGACCACAATACTCGGAGGACAACTGCTAGAATCAACTCTTTGGGTTCTCAATGCTTTTCGTCCCACTTTTTTTGTCCCAACAGTAAAACCCCTTGCTATTTTTTTTAACAACTCATGGTTTCTTAACTTTACAAAAATAACTGTTGTTCAATTTTCATCCATTCTTTTAAGTTTGGATGGAATATTAATGAAATGTGTGCTATGTACAATGCTCCGGGCCCGCATCTAAGCCCGTGTCAGTCACACAGTGTCAAAGCCCTCCAGTATATGAGCATATTGAGATTGAGATGATCATCCAGGAAAAAAAGCACTGACATGTTTCTCATGTTGCCACTATGGATGTATTTTCCATGTGTTATGCAAGTTTAATAGAGTATCTATGCACTCTATACATATCTATACAAGTTGGTAAATGGACTTTGTAGTGATTGTCAAGGAAACACATATTTCAGATAGACATCCTTGCTGTTGAGGACTAAACATATGTTCGGTTGTAGGCAATGTGAGAATATGTTAGTGTTTGTGTGTATGTGAGATCATCTCTACATTCTGTATGTGAAAATAGAATATTCCATCAAGATTATTTCATTGTGAACTTAGGGTTGTGAAAGGAGGAGACTCAATGTGGAATCACCCTTATTATTACATGGAGTACTCAAAACGGATAAGATAGTCATAATGGATTTTCTATTGATGGTGTATTGGTGTATTATGAAACAACATTTTATTTTTGCTTAGCCATTTAAATGCCTGTGGATTTCGTAGCACCCTCTTATGGGTATTGATTTTAACTTGAAATCATTCTCTAATTTGTGATAGGGACTTGGATAAAGCAGCTGTTTTTTTTTTTTTTTTTTTTTTTTTTTTTTTTTTTTTTTTTTTCGGAGTTGTATTTTAGGGTAATTCAGCAAAATCCTCTGTTTATATATGATTGGCTATCCTCCTATAACTGTTCATCCTTGAAAATGACTCAAAATAAGTGTTTTTTTTTTTCTTTTTCTCCAGACTTGCTTTTTGATGGTTTACAAGCATTCATGATGGGATCACCAAATATGAACCCTCTACTTGGCTTTGGTTCACTTGCTGCATTTGCTATAAGAGCTGTAAGAATTATTTGAAGTTGGGCATCATTTTGTTTGTTGTATTATTTCAATATCTTTTTAGTTCTTTAGCTGTTAATGTTGTTATGTTCATCTCTCTCTTAGGCCTAAAATGTTGAAACACTTCTCACAGGTGTCACTTCTTAACCCTGAACTTCAATGGGATGCTTCATTTTTTGATAAACCGGTTTGTTTCGTTTCTTGTTTATCCCTTTATTTTTGCTCAAAAAGGATCTTTTTTTCCCTTTTCTTTCACTTGCTTAAAGTGAGCTTCAAGTCACAACTTACGCGTAGGAAAGTATTTCTGCATTATTTCCTTTTCAATATTCTGTTCAATCCATTGATTTTAGTTGCTTTTTAGCCATTCTCTTCAGTCTTCACTAGTCACAGATGTCATATCTGACTTACAAATATATGTTTTGAACTGATTCAAAACTCAAAAGGCTTAGTTACTCCACTATATATAATATATTTGTAAGAGGTTGCTCACTGGAAACTGCTCATTTTTGCATGCAGGTCATGCTTCTTGGCTTTGTTCTGTTTGGCCATTCTCTGGAGGAAAGGGCCAGGCCGAAAGCTTCTAGTGACATGAATGAGCTTCTGGTAAATCCTTCTCGTTGTACTATTTCAATGTTCCTCTTTTTAAATTGGTGGTTGTATGTGTGTGTTCTGAGAGGAGGAACGGGGATGGGGCTTCAGACTAGTGTCAAGAAACATAATTTGAAGGCTAAAGGGAAGAACTGCTTCACACAATGGTTTGCAGTTTTCAAAGTGTTCAATCTCCTACATGGAGAGAGAGAGAGAGTTTCTAATAAAAAATTCTACTTGTCCTCTCAGGTGGGACAAGCAGCACTGTTCTTATCTAATAGCTATATATCAGTTAGGCATTGCCCTTGGGTGATTTTGATACTCAGACCAGAAAGAAGTAGATGGTTGACAATTGTATAGTCATTTTCTGCTGAAAGACGGCTGCCTGAGTGTGGCTTGCTGTGGGGTAAAAAGGGTGAGGGGTGTTGCAAGAATTGAACTCACAACCTCTCGCACCCAAAGTAAGAATCATACCACTAGACCAAGCACCCAATTGATTGTTCATTCCACATTGAGCATTTATGCAACTAAAGTCTAAACACTAGTTTGTTAAATATTGAGATGAAAGAGTGAAAGACTGCTGACTTGAGTATATGCATGACTGTGGCTTGCTATGAGGTAAAAAAGGGTGAAGGGTGTTGCGAGAATCAAACTCACAATCTCTCACACCCAAAGCGGGAATCGTACCACTAGACCAAACACCCAATTGATTGTCAGTTCCACATTGAGCATTTGTGCAACTAAAGTCTAAACACTAGTTTGGCTGAGTATATGCAAGAGTGAGAGTGTTAGGGGGGGGGGGGGGGTGTTGCGAGAATCAAACTCACGACCTCTTGCACTCGAAGCAAAAATCATACCACTAGACCAAACACCCATTTGATTGTTGATTTCACATTGAGCATTTGAGCAATCCCTAAAGTCTAAACACAAGTTTGTTAAATATTGAGATGAAAGAGTGAGATTTCCGATTGAGTATATGCATGAGTGTGATTTGCTGTATGGTTAAAAAAGGTGAGGGGTGTTGTGAGAATCGAACTCACGACCTCTTGCACCCAAAGCAAGAATCATACCACTAGACCAAACACCCAATTGATTTGGAATGCAATATTTACTTAATAGGAACTATGATGCTGGCATATTATACTATGGACCATGATTTACATTGCAATGTGGACCACAAATGAATGTTCACTTTTAGTATACTGAATGTTCATTTTTAATGTACTGAAAGTTCATTTTTTTTGGATGTATAGCTAAAAATGAACTTTTAGTACACAAAAATGAACCTTCACAAAATGAACATTCAATGTACTAAAAATGAACGCTCAGTATACTAATAATGAATCTTATGTCAATGGTCTACCCATCTTGTTGTCAATATATTCTTCTTTCCTTATTTTGTTGTACATCTATATATCCCTTGATTATCTTTCTAAGATTTTCCATAATTATTGTGTATATTCTTGCTGTAACTACTGGTCTTACTCTTCCTATGTTAGAGCCTATGTTTAAGGGATATTTTTATTATTCTTCCAAAAGGAATTGGACCCCAACTGAGCATTTGGGAGGATGTAAATCATGAGTTTGTAAATCATGGTAACTCAACTGAACATGAACCACAGAGGGGATAAGGGGATATTTTTATTATTCTTCCAAAAGGAATTGGACCCCAACTGAGCATTTGGGAGGATGTAAATCATGGTAACTCAACTGAACATGAACCACAGAGGCTAGATCTTTGCTAACTGTGCACAAGGAACCCCTCTGATTTTGAGAGGTAGCTCCCACACTGCCGCTGGTGAGACTCGATCCCTGGTCATTCTTCCAAAATTTCACCTCTATGACCAGTTGAGCTGCCCATGCGGGTAATTTGATTTTTATTATTGTCTATATATATTGTAATTTTGACCATAAAAAATATAGAAAAATATTTTAGAAACTTTCTCTTTCTTCTATGTTTTGTCATGGTATTAGAGCCAAAATTTTGAGAAAATATTTTAGAAACTTTCTCTTTCTTTTATGTTTTGTCATGGTATTAGAGCCAAAATTTTGAGATAATCATGTGTCTGGTTCCTTGTCTTGTTCCGAGATCTTAGTGATTTTGATCTTGTATCTCTAGTATCCTACTATTCTGTTTTCTTGGACCTGTTCTCTTAGTTCTTGTTTCTAATTGACTCATGTCTTTGGAACAATCTGAACATTTTTTTGTTCGATTTAATGGCAAAAACCATTCTGCCTGGGCATTCCAATTTGAGCTCTTTGTCAAGGGAAAGGAATTATGGAGTCATATTGATGAGACTGATCCTGCACCTAACAGAGAAAAGGAGGAGAAATATGCAAAATGGGAGATGAAGTATGCTTAGATTATGTCTTGGATCCTTGGAAGTGTGGAACCCTCCGTACTTCTCAATCTCAGGCGTTATAAGACCTCTAGAGAAATGTGGAATTACTTGAAGAAAATTTACAAATTACAACCAAAGCAACATAGGTTACATAGCACGAATGTTTCAATTGAAACTCAAGTTGGGTCAACTCAGTCAAGGGTGTAAATCCAAGAGTTTTATTCTTCCTTTGAAAATCTTTGGGCTGAGTACACTGATATTGTGTATGAAAATGTTCCTCATGAAGGACTTTTTGCTGTACAAAGTATCCATGAAACCAGCAAGCGTGATCAATTTTTAATGAAGTTAAAGGGGGAGTTTGAAACGATAAGGTCTAACCTGATGAATAGAGAGCCGGTTCCTTCACTGGATATTTGTGTAGGAGAGCTTCTCAGGGAAGAACAACGGCTCACTACACAGGCTGTCTTGGAGCAGAAAGCTCAAAAGTCAAAATTCTGCTCCAATCCTACGCTGCTCAAGGGAGATATAAAGGAGGCAGAGATATGACTAATGTCCAGTGCTATAGTTGCAAAGTATTTGGTCACATTGCCAACAATTGTACTAAATTTTTTTGCAATTACTGTAAGAAAATAGGGCATATCATCAAAGATTGTTCCATTCGGCCTCCAAAGAAGCCTAAAACTGCCTACAATGTCTCAGTTGGTCCCTAGAGTGCCTCTAATTTTTGTCGAAGGATGTGGGTAAACAAGCTACAAAAAGAGTGCCCAAACGTAGAAATGTAGAAGAAAAACAACTAAGGGAAAACCGAACCAAAAATGTCAAAACCGTTGCCCCAAAACAGAGCATTGATGCCAGTGGATATCTGTTAACAAGAATGTCCCGTAGACAAGTGTGTACACTCTTTTCCTCGCTCACACCAAAACAAAAACAGGATGTGGAAGACATGGGGTGTTTGGGGCAATATTAAACATGCAACTATCTGGGTGGGATGACAGATTAACTAGATATATTGTTGAACGATTTGATATTTATAAATGCGTCTGGGATTGGAAGGGGATGAGATGATAATCTTAGAAGAAAATGTAGACAACACGTTAAATCTTCATAGAGGTCAGAACCTTGTTGTTGAGGGCACTTTTGAAAATGAACATGAAGAGTATAGAAACTTATTGAAGGAGTGGAGAGAAAGATGGGGCATAACTCGTGGTTTCCTAGTAACATGCCAAATGGTTGCAACAATGATTGATAGAGGAGACCACAACGACATGTTTAAGAAAGATTTCATTGTCAACTACCCCAACACCACCACCTACACAAGTTGAGAACGTTGCAACACCAACATCTGATGCAAGGGAAGTAGAAATGGTTTATACTAAAATTCTAAACATTGCAAGGATGTCTAAGAAGACTTGCAATAGGAAGAGGATAATGAAAGAACCATTTCTACTGAACAACTGGACGCCACAACAATGGGTGGAGTTGAACAAGGTATTTTTGATAGGTATGTTAAATCTTCTATCTATGCAGTGCTTTAGCATATATTGTTAAATAAAATTGTAGTTGAATTGAAATGATATTGTAGTGTTTGCGTAATAAAACTATAGTGTGTATAGATTGAAACTGAGTAACAATTCTCACATATTTGTTGTATATCGTCAAATGAAATTGTAGTTGGATTAAAATAATACTGTGGTGTTTATGTAATGAAACTACGGTGTGTATAAAAAATGAAATTGTGTAGAACATATGGTTGGATTAAAGTTATAATTTATTGCTACTGTAATAAAAAGCTAATTCTGAATCTGATAATGAGGATTTGGAAGATAATACAAGGAAATTCAAGAACCTGCCCAGAATGATGAGGAGTTGAAGGATGTAGGTCTTAGGGACAGGTTGATCTCAGACTTTGCATTCATTGAACCATCAAATTACATCTCTAGAGTATGATAAGACCTCATTATTTTTACCTCTTACTATATCATTTCTACTTTTCTAGCAAGGAATTCTTATTTATGTATAAGGGTTACTCTGTGAACAAAGAACATTACTCTTATTAAAATTGTTGATTCCAAATTGAGCATTTGACCAACTAAAGTCGGTGTGTTGTGAGAATCATACCACTAGACTGCTAATTGAGTGTATGCATGAGTATGACTTGTTGTCAAAGAATTGAACTCACAACCCCTCGCTCCCAAAGCGAGAATCATACCACTAGACCAAACACCCAATTGATTGTTTATTACACATTGACCAACTAAAGTCTAAACATTAGTTTGTTAAATATTGAGATGAAAGAAGACTGCTATTGAGTATATGCATGAGTGTGACTTGCTGTGGGGGAAAAGAAGTGAGGGGTGTTGTGAGAATTGAACTCACGACCTCTCACACCCAAAGCAAGAATCATACCACTAGACCAAACACCCATTTGATTGTTGATTCTACATTGAACATTTGAGCAACTAAAGACTGCTGACTGAGTATATGCATGAGTGTAACTTGCTGTGAGGTAAAAAAGATAAGGGGTGTGTGAGAATTGAACTCACAACCTCTCACACCCAAAGCAAGAATCATACATTCATACCACTAGACCAAACACCCAATTGATTGTGAATTCCACTTGATTGTTGATTCCACATTGAGCAACTAAAGTCTAAACACTAGTTTGTTAAATATTGAGACAAAAGACAGAGTGGAAGACTGCTAACTAAGTATATACATGAGTGTGACTTGCTATGAGGCATAGACTAAGTGTTGCAAGAATCAAACTCACAACCTCTAGCACCCAAAGCAAGGATCAAACTCACAACCTCTAGCACCCAAAGCAAGAATCATACCACTAGACCAAACACTCAATTGATTACTGATTTCACATTGAGCATTTGAGCAACTAAAGTCTTAACACTAGTTTGTTAAGTATTGAGATGAAAGAGCGAAAGAATTGAGTATATGCATGAGTGTGGCTTGCTGTGAGGTAAAAAAGGGTGAGGGGTGTTGCAAGAATTGAACTCAAAACCTCTCACACCTAAAGCAAGAATCATACCACTACACCAAACACCCAATTAATTGTTGATTTCACATTGAGCATTTGAGCAATCCCTAAAGTCTAAACACAAGTTTTTTAAATATGAGATGAAAGAGTGAAAGATTGCTGATTGAGTTTATGCATGAGTGTGATTTGCTGCATGGTTAAAAAGGGTAAGGGGTGTTGTGAGAATCAAACTCACGACTTCTTGCACCCAAAGCAAGAATCATACCACTAGACCAAACACCCAAATGATAAGGAATGCAATATTTACCTAATGGGAACTAAAAATGTTGGGAAATTATACTATTGGACCATGGTCCACATTGCAATGTGGACCACAGATAAATGTTCTCTTTTAGTATATTGAGTGTTCAGTTTTAATGTACTGAAAGTTCATTTTTTTGGAAGTATAGCTAAAAATGAACCTTCTGAAAATGAACATTCAATATGCTAATAGTAAACCTTAGGTCAATTGTCCATCTTGTAAGGTGGAACATGGTATAATGATTGCTTTGAGCTGAGGTTACCAGGTCCATAGTGTTTGATCAACTTAAATTATTGAAAAGAGAAAGTAGGTATTTATGAGGAAATGTTGATGCAGGTTTGACTGCATAATTCTTTGGTAGATGGACAGATATACATTTGTGAAAAAGGCTAGTTTAGTTTTGAAGAAAAAGAATGGAAGATATATAAGTAGGGTTAATAAAAGGAAGCATGATTGGAAAATTATGTGGGATGGGAGAGTTGGGATATTGCAGGATGTAGGGAGGAAAGAAGCCAATCTTTGGGACAGCATGATGTGGGATGCAGTGCATCACAGTTATGGCCCATCCTATTGCCATCCTTACTTCCCCAATTACAACTACCTCCTGGGTCACGTTTTGACTGCACAGAAATGTAATGTTCACAAATTTCTTTCTAGTGAAACTTTGGATGTTCTGTTTTCATTCCTTTTTTATCAGCTATTACTTTGTTTCAGGATAGTCCCAAAAAAATTGAGGCCACTTCAATTGGGTCCAACTCGACAATTTCCAAGATAGTTATCATGGTAAATGAGTTGGATTTTTAAGTTTTTTTTTTTTTTTTTTTTGGATACGGGTCAAATGTGCCTGAAACTATTTGAGAAAATGCAATTAGGCCATTCAACAACAATAGGCTCCAATTAACCCCCTAAACTTGGGGATAAAAATGCAATCAAGTCATTTTGACATGTTTTTATACGTAATGATCAAGTTAATGCTAACTTGGATTTTGGAGGCATCTCAGCATACTTTTTCTTATTTGGATGCCTATTTGATAGATTTTATTATTATTATTATTATTAAATTAAATGGTAAAAGAATGCTGCCATGAAAGTTATGTTTTATTATTATTATTATTATTATTATTATTATTATTAAAATGATATTTAACTTGAGGACCAAAATTGGAAAAAATCAATAGTCAAGGGACCGCTTATGGTTAAATTGAAAGTCGAGGATGAAAGTTGGTAAAGATCAATAGTCAAGGGACCATTTATAGTTCAATTGAAAGTCGAAAGATAAAAATTGGTAAATGACAATAATCAAGGAATCATTCTTGGAATTAACTCTTAATTAAATAAAATCTGAGTTGGATGACACATTTTGATGTGGCAGTGATGATTTCAATGCCATGCTAGCAAACTTAACCATACCATATAGTAAATGGATCTCCGAGGTACTTTGATCTCTAATTGCATTTTCTCAAATAGTTCTTGGGCCTATTTGACCCTTATACCTTTTATTTTTATTTTTTAATTTGGAGCCTTATTCAATAAATGCAACTTCAGCTTGCTGCTCTGAGTTCTTTAAACATAGAACTATAGCTGCCAGAAAGAGAAACAATTATTGACTTATTTGTTGGAAAATAGTTTTCTACCTACAGAGCATGAGAGTAAGAGGTAGGTCACACACATTGGAAAGAGATCACAAATTCATTGAAAGTCCCGAAAAGAATATGAAGTCTAGAATAATTTTAATTTTGTTTGCACTAAACTGAAAAATCCCCTGGGGGTTCATAAATTGGTCTCAAACCACAGATTGTGTGCAATCTAACCTTTAACTTCATAATGAGCAGTCAAATCTTTCATTTCTGATACTTGAGAATAATTGCTATCATCTTTGGCTGTTATTTACAGAACAAATGAATAAACAAAAAATAGTTTTTTTTTTTTTTTCAACAGGAAATGGTAGAAAATAGGGAGTAATGTTCAAATGGCTGCTGCTTGTAAAATACTGAAATTTGCTATTCCCCTTTCTCCAGGTTGAGGATGCTCAAGGCTGTGAAGCACCGATCCGGATTGCAGATTCAATTGCCAGACCATTTGTGTATAGTTTAATGACTTTATCAGCTACAACATTTGCTTTTTTGGTAGGGCTTTTTTTTTTTTTTTTTTTTTGGTAGTGCATTATAGAAACATGTAACCTTTTCCTATTGAATGGATCCATGTGCACAGAGACTTTATGGTCACTAATAAGATAATATAATTTGCAAGTTTCATTTTTGAAGCAACTGTGTGCTGCTAAATGGATGAACTGTTACTGCTATTGCAAACCTGCATTCCTACTACCAAAGCTTATTGCTTTTCATTTTACAGTCACTTAAAATATCCAAAACATACTTAGGAACTCTAATCTGTGCATTCTTGCACTCTGTATATAGCATGAATGGTTAACATTGGTTCTTTTTGACAGGTTGTGTCTTGCCCTTGTGCTTTAGGCCTTGCAACACCCACTGCAATTCTAGTTGGCACTTCACTTGGTAAATCATCAACTTCACTTTGCTTTTTACTCACTGCATTTGTTCCCATGTTAATATATATGCCCAACATTGAGGGCCCTATCTCAATCTTTTATTGCTGGCTTCCTTGGAGGGACCTCAGCAAGAAGGTTATGAAATAGAAAGTAGAAAGTGAATAAACATAAATAAACGGTAGGCCTAATGGTAGCAGCAAGTGCAGCCATTGTTTCCAAAGCTAATGCCTAATGGTTATCTATAAGAGGCATTGTGCAAGAATACTTCTTCTTATTGCCCAAATTCTTCTTTCTTACATGAATTTGATAAAAAGGAATGTTGCCTGCATTCCCCAAATTTATATTAAGAAATGACAATACCAAAACTAAGATGTAATCTTGCTTTCTAGATCCTAACTTTGTTAAACATTGAGATGAAAGAGTGGCAGGCTACTAACTGATTATATGCATGAACATAGTGAGGTGAGGGGTGTTGTGAGAATTGAACTTGCCCTATTGCACCAAAAGTAAAGGGGTGTTGTGAGAATTGAACTCACGACCTCTTGCACCCTAAGCGAGAATCATACCACTAGACAAAACACCCAATTGATTATCAATTCAACACATTGAACATTTGAGGAACTAAAGTCTAAACACTAGTTTGTTAAATAGTCTAAACACTAATTTGTTAAATATTGAGATGAAAGAGTGGAATGAGTATATGCCAGAGTGTGACTTGCGGTAGGTGAAAAAAATTGAGGGCTTGAGGGATGTTGTGAGAATTAAACTCACAACCTCTCGCACCCGAAGCGAGAATCATATCACTAGACCAAACACTCAATTGATTGTTGATTTCACATTGAGCATTTGAGCAACTAGAGACTGCTGACTGAGTATATGCATGGGGGTGACTTGCTGTGAGGTAAAAAAGGGTGAGGGGTGTTATGAGAATTGAACAAAAAAAAGTGAGGGGTGTTATGAGAATTGAACTCATGACCTCTCGCACCCAAAGCAAGAATCATACCCCTAAACCAAACACCCATTTGATTGTTGATTCCGCATTGAGCAACTAAAGCCTAAACACTAGCTTGTTAAATATTGAGATGAAATAGTGGGAGACTGCTAATTGAGTATACGCATGAGTGTGACTTGCTGTGAGGTGTAAAAGGGTGACGGGTGTTGTGAGAATTAAATTCACAACCTCTTGCACCCTAAGCAAGAATCGTACCACTATACAAAACACCCAATTGATTGTTAATTCCACATTAAACATTTGAGCAACTAAAGTCTAAACACTACTTTGTTAAATAGTAAAACACTATTTTGTTAAATATTGAGATGAAAGAGTGGAAAACTGCAAACTGAGTATATGCATGAGTGTGACTTGCGGTGAGGTGGAAAAAAGTGAGGATGTTGTGAGAATCAAATTCACAACCTCTCGCACCTGAAGCGATAATCATACCACAAGACCAAACACCTAATTGATTGTTGATTGCATATTGAGCAACTAAAGACTGCTGACTGAGTATATGCATGAGTGTAACTTACTGTGAGGTACAAAACCATAAGGAGGGTGTTGTGAGAATGAAACTCGATCTCTTGCACCCAAGCAAAGGGGTGTTGTGAGAATCAAACTCTATCTCTTGCACCCAAAGCAAAGGGGTGTTGTGAGAATTGAACTCACGACCTCTCACACCCTAAGCGAGAATCATACCACTAGACCAAACACCCAACAGATTATTAATTCCACGTTGTGCATTGAGGTGAAAAAGGGAGAGGGGTGTTGTGAGATTCAAACTCACAACCTCTCGCACCCGAAGCGAGAATCATACCACTAGACCAAACACCTAATTAATTGTTGATTTCACATTGAGCAACTAAAGACTGCTGACTGAGTGTATGCATGAGTATAACTTGTTGTGAGGTAAAAAACAGTTAGGGGTGTTGTGAGAATTAAACTCACAACCTATCGCACCCAAAGCGAGAATCATTACACTAGACCAAACACCCATTTGATTGTTGAGTTTAAACACTAATTTGTTAAATATTGAGATGAAAGAGTGAGAGACGGCTAACTGAGTATATGCATTGCTGTGAGGTGAGGGGTGTTGTGAGAATCAAACTCGACCTCTTGCGCCCAAAGCAAAGGGGTGTTGTGAGTATTAAATTCACAACCTCTTGCACCCTTTGCGAGAATCATACCACTATATCAAACAACAAATTGATTATTGTTAATTCCACATTGAACATTTGAGCAACTAAAGTCTAAACACTAGTTTGTTAAATAGTCTAAACACTAATTTGTTAAATATTGAGATGAAAGAGTGGAAGACTGCTAACTGAGCATATGAATGTGTGTGACTTGCTGTGAGGTGAAAAAAAGTGAGGGGTGTTGTGAGAATTGAACTCACAACCTCTCGCACCCAAAACAAAAATCATACCAATAAACCAAACACCCAATTGATTGTTGATTTCACATTGAGCAACTAAAGACTTCTGACTGAGTATATGCATGAGTGTAACTTGATGTGAGATAAAAAACAATAAGGGGAATCATACCACTAGACCATTCACGCATTTGATTGTTGAGTCTAAACACTATTTTGTTAGTAGAGATGAAATAGTGAGAGATAGCTAACTAAATATATACATTGCTATGAAGAAGGGGTGTTGTGAGAATTGAACTTACAACCTCTCGCACCCTAAGCGAGAATCATACCACTAGACCAAACACCCAATTAATTATTAATTCAACACATTGAGCATTTGAACAACTAAAGTCTAAACACTAGTTTGTTTTTTGAAGCAAAACACTAGTTTGTTAAATAGTGTAAACACTAATTTGTTAAATATTGAGATGAAAGAGTGGAAGACGGCTAACTGAGCATATGTACGAGAGTAACTTGCTGTGAGGTGAAAAAAAGTGAGGGGTGTTGTGAGAATCAAACTCACAACCTCTCACACCTAAAGCAAGAATCATACCACTAGGGTGAGGGCTCTCGCACGCAAAGCGAGAATCAAACCACTAGTCCAGACAGGGGTGTTGTGAGAGTTCTCGCACACGCAAAGTGAGAATTGAACCACTGGACAGACACCCAAGTGATTGTTGTTTCCACGTTGAGCATTGAGGTGTTAAAAGGTGAAGAGTGTTGTGAGAATCGAACTCACAACCTCTTGCACCTAAAGTAAGAATCATACCACTCGACCAAACACCCAATTAAGTGTTGATTTTACATTGAGGTTTTAAGTAACTAAAGCCTAATACTAGTTTGGATAATTATTGAGATGAAAGAGTGAGAGATTGTTGATTGTATATGCAGGAATTTGATTTGCTTAAACAATAAATATGGTGAGGGGTGTTGTGAGAAAAAGGTGAGGGGTGTTGCGAGAAAAAGGTGAGGGGTGTTGCGAGAAAAAGGTGAGGGGTGTTGCGAGAAAAAGGTGAGGGGTGTTGCGAGAAAAATGTGAGGGGTGTTGCGAGAATTGAACTCACGACCTCTTGCACCCAAAGCAAGAATCATACCACTAGACCAAACACCCAATTAAAATTGGATATTACATTTAGCAACTAATGTCTAACACTAGTTTGTTTATTTATTGAGATGAAAGAGTGAGAGATTGCTGATTGTATATACATGAGTTTGATTTGCTATAAGCAATTAAATAGGGTGAGGGGTGTTATGAGAATTAAAGTTATGACCTCTTACATTCAAAGCGAGAATCATACCACTAGACCAAACACCCAAGTGATTATTGATTCCACGTTGAGCATTGAGTTGAAAAAAGGTGAGGGATGTTGTGAAAATTGAACTCACGACCTCTTGCACCCGAAACAAGAATCATACTAATAGACCAAAAACCCAAGTGATTGCTAATTCCACGTTGAGTATTGAGGTGAAAAAAGGATAGGTGTGTTGTGAGAATCAAACTCATGACCTCTTACACCAAAATCAAGAATCATATCACTAGACCAAACTCTAGTTTGGTTAAATTATTGAGATGAAAGAGTGAGAGATTGCTGATTGTTGTATATGCATAACTATGATTTGTTGTAAGCAATTAATAAAGGATGAGAGGTGTCGTGAGAATTGAACTCACGACACTCACGACCTCTCGCACCCAAAGCGAGAATCATACCACTAAACCAAATACCCATGCAATTATTGATTCCACGTTGAGAATTGAGGTGAAAAACGGTGAGGGGTGTTGTGAAAATTGAACTAAAAGTCTCTTGCACCCGAAACAAGAATCATACTACTAGACCAAACACCCAATTGATTGCATATGTATGAGAAAATTTGCTGTAAGCAATACAATAAAGTGAGGGGTGTTACGAGAATTGAACTCATGACCTCTTACACCCAAAGCGAGAATCATACCACTAGACCAAACACCCAAGTGATTATTGATTCCACGTTGTGCATTGAGGTGAAAAAGGGAGAGGGGTGTTTTGAGAATCAAACTCACGACCTCTTGCACCCAAAGAAAGAATCATACACTAGACCAAACACCCAATTGATTGTTGATTTCACATTGAGCATTTAAGCAAATAAAGACTAACACTAGTTTGGTTAATTATTGAGAAGAAAGATTGAGAGATTGCTGATTATATATGTATGAATTTGATTTGATGTAAGCAATTAAATAGGGTGAGGGGTGTTGTGAGAGCTCTCGCACTCAAAGCGAGTATCAAATCACTACACCAGACAGGGGTGTTGTGAGAGTTCTTGCAAACGCAAAGTGAGTTGTCTCCACGTTGAGCATTGAGGTGTTTAAAAGTGAGGGGTGTTGTGAAAATCGAACAAATGACCTCTTGCACCCAAAGCAAGAATCATACCACTAGACCAAACACCCAATTGATTGTTGATTTTACATTGTGGATTTAAGTAACTAAAGCCTAATACTAGTTTGGATAATTATTGAGATGAAAGAGTGAGAGAATGTTGATTGTATATGCATGAATTTGATTTGCTTAAACAATTAAATATGGTGAGGGGTGTTGTGAGAATTAAACTCACAACCTCTCGTGATTGTTGTTTCCATGTTAAGCATTGAGGTGAAAAAAAGGTGAGGGGTGTTGTGAGAATCAAACTCACGACCTCTTGCACCCAAAGAAAGAATCATACACTAGACCAAACACCCAATAGATTTGGTTAATATTTGAGAAGAAAGATTGAGAGATTGCTGATTATATATGCATGAATTTGATTTGATGTAAGCAATTAAATAGGGTGAGGGGTGTTGTGAGATCTCTGGCACGCAAAGCGAGAATCAAACCACTCGACCAAACAGGGGTGTTGTGAGAGTTCTCGCAAACGCAAACGCAAAGTGAGAATCAAACCACTGGACCAGATACCCAAGTGATTGTTGTTTCCACGTTAAGCATTGAGGTGTTAAAATATGAGGGGTGTTGTGAGAATCAAACTCATTACCTCTTGCACCCAAAGCAAGAATCATACCACTAGACCAAACACCCAATTTATTATTGATTTTACATTGTTGATTTAAGTAACTAAAGCCTAATACTAGTTTGGATAATTATTGAGATGAAAGAGTGAGAGATTGTTGATTGTATATGCATGAATTTGATTTGATTAAACAATTAAATATGCTGAGGGGTGTTGTGAGAATTAAACTCACAACCTCTCGTGATTGTTGAAAAAAAGGTGAGGGGTGTTGTGAGAATTGAACTCACGACCTCTTGCACCCAAAGCAAGAATCATACCACTAGACCAAACACCCAATTAAAATTGGATATTACATTGAGCAACTAATGTCTAACACTTGTTTGTTTATTTATTGAGATGAAAGAGTGAGAAATTGCTGATCGTATATTCATGAGTTTGATTTGCTGTAAGCAATTAAATAGGGGGAGGGGTGTTATGAGAATTAAACTCATGACCTCTTACACCAAAGCGAGAATCATACCACTAGACCAAACACCCAAGTGATTATTGATTCCACGTTGAGCATTGAGGTGAAAAAAGGTGAGTGATGTCGTGAAAATTGAACTCACGGCCTCTTGCACCCGAAACAAGAAT